CCATGGGGCCACAGTGTTTTATTACGAAAATAGAATAAAAACTTCGAAAACAAAATGATCTTTTCTAATTTAATGAAAAATTTGTTATTTTTTATTGTTTTCTGTGTGTGACTTATATGCAACTTGACAAATAGTTCAGGCTGCCCAAGGTGAAGAGACTTGTGAGTTATGTGTGCTTCACAAGACCCCGGGCTCAGAACTAGCATGAGTTAAATACAACTCATGTGGCAGTGAATGTGATAATTCCTGGCTGAACCTGATGAGGAATCCAGGCGGCGTGGGCAGCTCTGCATGGGCGTGCAGGGCGTGGAGGCCCACCGCTCTGACTGCTCCTGCAGAACATGGTCAGCAGCGTGGCCTTGGGCTGATGAACCTTCCTTGCTGGAGACTAGATAGCAGTTGCCACTATCAGTTTTGCAAATTGAGCCCAACAGCAAAACAGCCTGACCTGACCAGGCTTCCAGGCTGTCAGCCAAGAGCAGGCTGAGTGGCAGTGCTTAGATTGGGGCTCTAGGGGTGGGCAGGACTGGGAGACCAGAACTGGAGTGGGCTCTTCCGGAAGCTGGACTCCAGGCTGACGGGTGGAGGTGCCCTGCATGCGCGTAGACCAGCGTGGATCTGTGGGTGTGAGCTCGGCCAAGCGAGAGCTCCCCTCGCGGCCACTCGTCCCTGTCTGGAATGCTCCTGGGCTGCCCCAAGCAGAGGGCCCTTCCCCGAGAGGGGCTTCTAAGGCCCAGGTGCAAGGAAAGGCCAAGACGTTTGCCTTTGGAGCCGGCTTTTGAGTTAAGCCCGCGTGCCATGTAACGCTGCAGTGAAATCCAGGGCGCAGGGCTGGGGACGTGGAAACTGGCTCGCAGACACCTGTGGCTGGAGGGCCCTGTCAAAGCCCAAAGGAGGGCGCTCTTCCTGCGTGCAGCATGGGCAGCCCTGCAGAGCGCCAGCTGGGGGCCGTGGGACGCCTTTGTCTCCTGGAGGAGACTTGCAGAGTTAGCGCTGCTGGGGCCCGGGATGTGGGGTCCATGGCTGGTCAGCTCCCGAGCCCCGCGCCCAGGCCTGCCCTCGGGAATTGCAGGGTGGGGAGGGGGGCAGAGCAAGCCAGGAGCAGCCGCAGCCCCCCAGGCAGTAGGGCCCAGTGTCCTTGCAGGCCTGACCTTCCCGCAGGGACGCCGGGGGCCGTGCCGAGGGCTGCCACCTGGGCATCCAGGTCCTCAGGGCGGCTCCTGCTCTCCTGCAGGACGTGTTTGAGATGAGGTTTGCCAAGATGCCGGATGAGCCGGTGGAGACACCTGCACTGCCAGCCCCCGCGGCCCCCACGGTGAGCAAGGGCGCCGAGAGCAGCCGCAGCAGCGAGGAGAGCTCGTCGGACTCGGGCAGCTCAGACTCGGAGGAGGAGCGGGCCACCAGGCTGGCAGAGCTGCAGGAGCAGGTAGGGGCCAGTGGCGGGCTCGCGGGTGCAGGCCGGGTCGGGGCTGAGGTAGGGCAGCCAGCCGCACGGCAGCCTGAGATCTGCCCCTTTCCTGGCCTTCCTTCGCACGGTGTGCGTGGGTCACTGTGAAGGCGCTCAGAGCGCCCTGCCCAGGCCTGGGCGGGCAGGAGCCTGACCCACAGGCATGCGTGGGCAGCTGCGTGGACACATGCCTTGGGGTGGGGCGAGCGCTCAGTGGTCACTTGTGCCTCGTGCTGCTCCAGAGAGGTCTGGAAGGCACTTGAAGAGGCCGTGGCTCTGCCATCAGAGCAGTTGCCTGTCGGGGGACGGGTGTAGGTGTCCCAGTGTTGTGGGACGCGGCCGCCTGCCCGCCTCCGCCTCTGACCAGCCCCCGGATCTGCGCTTCCTCCCCTTGTCTGCCTCGCTTTCTTCATTTGCAACTTGGGACGATCCGGCCTCTTCTTTGAGTAGTTTCGAGGACGAGTTGAGGGAAATGCAAACTGTTTCCCCCGAGCATCTGGGAGCCAGGCAGGGAGCCGGTGGGGCAGAGCCGCTGGGGCAGGAAGGGGCTCCTGGAGCACTCAGAGCCCTGAGCACAGAGACAGTGCTGCAGTCACCAGCGTTGGGCTGGATGTTTGCTTTTGCATTGGCGAGGACACACTGCAGGGATTGTGGCTGTGAGGTGGCCGCGGGGCTAGTGGCTTCTCCACCGGGAGGCTGGGACGGCCTCCCCGCAGCCGCACGGTGCGGTTCACGGTGGCTGCTCCTTTCCCGCCGGGGCGGCTGCAGCGAGCAGCATGTCAGCACCTGGCACGGTGCCGGGGAGGCGCTGGGCAGGTGTGGCTGCCGCCGGGCAGGTGCGGCTGCGACCTGACCACTTCAGTGCTGTAGACCTGCTACCGTAGCAAAGGCTTCCCGGAGGAAGCCGTGGGAAAGCTCTTCGTGCAGGCATTTCGCCTCCGGAGTCCTCCTCCTCTGAAAACTAATAACAAAAATGTTAGCCGCCATTATCGAGTCTCTGTCGCGCCACCTGCCCGTGTTGAGCTAGGCCCAGGCTCCTCGTCCTTCTGGGAGGTTCTCTGCTCACCAGCAGTCAGGCGGAGGAGAGGGCAGAGTGGCTCCTCAGAGAGGTCTGCCCGGACCCATCTGGCCCCCAGGGCAGAGGGGCACGGGGGCTCCGGGCCCACTCCTCACCCAACCGAGGCAGCTCCGTGGGCCCCTTGGGGTGGGGCCCCGCTCAGCTGCCTGCTCTCTTACAGCTGAAGGCCGTGCACGAGCAGCTGGCCGCCCTGTCTCAGGCCCCGGTGAACAAACCAAAGAAGAAGAAGGAGAAGAAGGAGAAGGAGAAGAAAAAGAAAGACAAGGACAAGGAGAAGGAGAAGCACAAGGCCAAGTCCGAGGAGGAGAAGAAGGCCAAGGTGGCCCCGCCGGCCAAGCAGGCCCAGCAGAAGAAGGCTCCCGCCAAGAAGGCCAGCAGCACGACCGCGGCCGGCAGGTGGGCTCCAGCCCCACCCAGGCCCCCGAGAGCCCAGCACCTGGCACGTCGTAGGTTCTCGTGCAGCAGCAGTGCTGGGTGGGGCTTTGCGCCTTGGCCACGTGGAAACCGGGGTGGGGGTTGCAGGGAAACGTGAGGCCCCAGTGACACCCCTGCTGGGAGAGGTAGGGCTCCGGGGGTGCCGCTCAGCCATCTGCAGGGCTGGCCTTGATTCTGGGCGTCCGCGCTTGTGCTGCCTGGTCTGCACATCTTGAAGCTTTGGGGAGGTTTTCCTAATCTGGGCCAAGGATATTTATTGGGGGGATGCTTCATTCCTGGTTCACCCAGGAGGCAGGGGCCAGGGTGGTAAAATCATGCCTCGGCAGAGATTCAGCCCCTGGTCCACGCAGCCTTATCAAGCTCCTGCCGTGGCTGGGCACTGCCCTGAGGAAGGCCGCCGTGGACACACAGGAACGAGAAGGCAAGATGTGGCTGGTGGGGAAGCAGCTCGGGGCCGGGGCTCTCCCCTCCCAAGGAGGAGGTGACAGCTGTGCAGGGGCAAGCTTGGCAGCAGAGTCGGAGGTTCCAAGAACAGGAACGGCAGACACGGTGCCGAGCAGGCCAGCAGAGCACGTTGCTCGGGGAGGTCAGGACGGGGTTGGCACCTCTGCAGAAGAACCAGCTGGGGAAAGAGGTGAGCTGCGGCTGCTGAGGTTGCATTTTATTCTTGGCCAGTGGAGGGAGTTAGAGGGGATTTAAGCTGAAAGTGGTGAGACCCCGGCCGGTGTGGAGCAGAGCTCGGTGGGAACCGGGAATGGGAGAGGGGACACCCCTTGGAGGAATCGTGGTCATGCCGGCAGAGGAAATGGGGTTGGTTTGAGAGCTGCCTGGGAGGCAGCGGGACAGGCTTGGTGCTTGGCAGTGGGAGGCGAGGAGCGAGTGGAGTCCCGGGTGGGCCGGCAGCCAGGCAGGCCACGGGCGGAGAGCTCTTTCTCTCCTCCCTTCCCTTTCCTCTCCCCCTCGCTCTCTTTCTTCATTTTGGAGGGGGATGCAAAAGCCAGTTTTCCTTACACAGGTTGAGCATCCCTTATCCGAAATGCTTGGGACTGGAAGTGTTTTAGATTTTGGATTTTTTCGGATTTTGGAATATTCGCATTATAGTGTACTTACCATTGAGCATTCCAAATTTGAAAAGCTGAAATCCAAAATGCTCCAACGAGCATTTCCTTTGAGCATCATGTCAGCACTCAGAAAGTCTTGGATTTTGGAGCATTTTGGATTTTGAATTTTCGCATTTGGACGTTCAGCCTGTGCTGTCTTTGGTTTTGGTATAAGTATAATGCTGACCTCGATAATGAACTGGGTGGAATATGACACTCTAGAGCGATGAGGGCTGATAAAAAACTGAGTTGAGCAGTGTTCCCACTCTTCTGTTTTCTGGGGTAGATTTATAGAATTGGTATTAATTCTTAAATGTTTGGTACCATTTGGGTCTGGAGTTTTGACCATGAATTCGATTATTTTAATAGACATCGGACTATTAGGTTATCAGTTTCTTTTTGAGCGAGTTTTGGTGGTTTCCGCCTTTCGAGGGACTGCCCCAGGTCAGCAGAAGCTGAGATTACTGACTTGAGACCCTTTCTACCCTGGGGTTTAGTGCTCTGAATTCCCCCCTGAACACTGCTTTAGCTGCAACCCGCAAATTTTCATATGTTGTGACTTTATTTATTTCGTTCAAAATAGTTTCTGGTTTTTCTTCAGACTTCCTTTCTGACCAGTTAGTTATTTGGAATTGCGTTGTTTGTGCTTGGAGACTTTTCCAAATGTTCTGATTATTGATTTCTAGTTTAATTCCATGAAGGCCAGAGAACATACTTTGGATGACTTGGGTATTTTTAACTTTGTGAAGGGTCTTTCACGGCCTAGGACACGGTGGGTCCCGGAGGGTGTCCGCTGTCGGGTGGAGCTGTGTGGGTGTCAGTGCAGGAAGGAGGACCCCAGGCCGCACGCCGGTTACTTGCTGGCGGTGTTGTCCGGGTCTCCTCTCACGTTTGCTGATTGGCTTATTTTATTAAGTACCAGGAGAGAATTGTTGAAATCTCCAACTATGTGGATTTTTCTGTAGTCCCTTTAGTTCTGTCAGTTTTCGCTTTATGTTTCTTAAAGCTCGGATTTCTGACGCACCTGCTTTCGCACAGTGATGTCTGCTTGCTCAGCTGACCCCTTTGTCATTACGCAGTGTCCTTCTTTTCTCCTGATGATGATCCTTTCCTGAAGTCTGCTTTGTCTGAAATTAATGTAGTCACTCCAGCTTTCTTTCGATTAGTGTTTGCATTGTTTTTTTTTTTCATTTTTTCCCTTTTAACCTACCTATAACGTTATATTGAAAGTGGGGTTTGTGTACATTGCGTGTAAGTTGGATCTTGTTTTTTGTTCAGCCTCACCATCCCTTTGTTTTGTTATTGATGTGATTGGATTTTAGTGCCTGTTTCATTATTTTCCGTTTGTCCTCTCTGTTTTTTGTCCCTCTGTTGCCCGCTCCCGGCCTTCTTTCGATGACCTGCACGTGAGGATGGGTTTGCGGTGCCTGCGGGTTGAGAGGAGCTGACTCCGCAGCTGTTCCCCGGATGCCCTGGCTGGGGGCGGCCTTTCTGGCCTCTGCGGCAGGGTTGTCCCGGGCAGACGTAGTTAAAATCCTCAGGCTTCTGCTGCACTTTTCCGCCTCAGGGTGCCACTTTGGCTGTGCCCCTCGGGAGGAGAGCCTGGTCCCCGAAACAGTCTGCTGCTGGGAGGAGGGAGCCAGGCAGGGCAGTGGGGGCGCAGAGGTGGGCGCAGTGGGCTCGCGGGGCAGCCAGACCGGGACTTGCCGCCACGTGGCTCTCTGTCTCCTGCCTCAGACAGCTGAAGAAGGGCGGCCGGCAGGCGTCTGCCTCCTACGATTCGGAGGAGGAGGAGGAGGGCCTGCCCATGAGCTACGACGAGAAGCGCCAGCTCAGCCTGGACATCAACCGGCTGCCCGGGGAGAAGCTGGGCCGCGTGGTGCACATCATCCAGTCGCGGGAGCCCTCGCTCAGGGACTCCAATCCCGATGAGATCGAGATTGACTTTGAGACTCTGAAACCCACCACCCTGCGGGAACTGGAGAGATACGTCAAGTCTTGTTTACAGAAAAAGCAAAGGAAACCGTTCTGTAAGTTGTCCAGGCGGAGCGCGGTGCTCGGAGCCCCTTCCCCCGGCCCGTCCTCACGGCCCCCTTGGAGTGAGCATGGGGCGCAGGGCTGCCTCGCTCCCCTGGCCCTTCCTCCCCGCTCGTGTCCTGGAGAGGTCTGTCTGTGCTCGGCCAGGGCCAGGGGTGTTGGGACTGAGCCCCGGCCTGAGCCCCACCCAGCCAGAGCCCTCTGGCCCCGCTCTCGGGAGGCGGGCAGCACTCACGTGCGTCGGCCTGAACCTTGTCCGGGAAGGCAGGACCCGGGCCAGCCCCTCGCCCCCACCCATGTAGGGTCCACGTAGGGTCCTTGCCACACACCTTCCTCAGGCTGTGTCTGGGGCCTTGGCTGCAGTGACCTCTCCAGTGGTCCCTGCCAGAGCAGACCAGCTTCCCTTGAGGACACCCTCCCTTTGGGGTCACGTGTCTGGAGGACACGCAGGACGGACTCCGGTACCGGCCCAGGCTTGGCCTGGAAGCCGATGCCTTCTGGACAGGAACGCGTCACTGGAGGGTCTGTGGGTCCTGGAGCTTGGGTGGGGGCAGACCTGAGGCGGCCCTCACGGTGACCTCAGCAGACGGTGCAGGGCACGGCGAGGCTCACTGGAGCCTGTGTGTGGGGTTGCAGGGTGGGCTCGGTCCCCACTCACTCTGAAAGGGGGAGCTTCTTTTACCTGGACGGAGTGTCTGTGTGACCCTGTGGCGTCGTGGCACACTTGACCTGCGGTGAGTCGTCACCTCGGCGGTGGCGACTCAGCGTTGGTGGTGGAGGTCGGGCTCCAGAAGCGGCTGCCCCAGGGAGGGAGGGCAAACTGGAGGTCCTGCCCTCCCATGGGGAGCGCTGGCCAACCGTGTCCCTCTGCGCACCTGTCAGGGGAGTGGGAGTGGCCTCTCCCACCTGTGGTGAGAGCCCAGCAGAATGGGGCTGGGGGGTCCAGCCCAGCCCCGTCATTTCTGCTGCTCAGGCTCAGGCGACAGCTCTGCGGTGGTCTGTGCACGGGCCTGTGAAGTGTGGGCGGGGGGTGCGATGCTGGCGTGCAGGGATGGGGCCACCTAGGTGCAGCCCCGTCTCCTGGAATGGCCGAGGGAGTGAGGCCGTGGCCCCGAGAGACGCAGGGAGGCTGCCTGCCCACTGTCCGCCACGTCTGCGCCCTCTGTCCCCACAGCAGCCAGCGGGAAGAAGCAGGCGGCCAAGTCCAAGGAGGAGCTTGCGCAGGAGAAGAAGAAGGAGCTGGAGAAGCGTCTGCAGGACGTCAGCGGGCAGCTCAGCAGCAGCAAGAAGCCTGCACGGAAAGGTACCCTCCACGGCCACCGCCCCGGCACCCTGCGGCACGGCCTGCCACCTCCCGTGTCCAGAGGGTCTGGGCACCAGCAGGCCAAGCGCGCGTGTGTGGCCCACACGTGATGGGCTGTGTTCTCAGATGAGGTTTTCAACCTCCCGAAAGCTCCCTCTCCTTATCTGTCCCCTGGTGGCCACGCCCTGACCTGGCAGGGAGGTCATGCAGACATGAGGTGTGTGGATGCACACGTTCCAGACCCCATGGACAGATGGACCCCCGGGGAGCCGGCTCATGAGGGGCTGGGCCCAGGGCTGGAGGCACCAGGGTCCTGCCCTGGCTGCGTGGCCAGCCCCAGCCCCTAGCATCGAGCTTCCTGACCACCCCTAGGGCACGTAAGAGCACAGGTGGGAGGCCCCAGGCCTTGTCTGTGTACTGCTGGGGCATCCTTTCTCTGGAGCCCGTGGGAAGGAGCAAATGCCTTTCTCCCCGGCCTCAGGAACAGGGCCTCCGAGACACACACATGGGGACAATAGGTCTGGGTGGTGGTCAGAGGCTTGTGGGCTTTGTGGTCAGAGTGGGGGCCCCTTCTGGACTCGAGCTGGGGCCGTGACCTTGCTGGGCCTTGTCTGCCCAGGGTCAAGACAGGGCCTGGGACCCTGCCTGCTTCCTTGGAAGGCGAGAGGGGTCTCCCCGGTCATCCCTGGGGTGCCCTGGACAGAGTAAGTGCTCCAGAAATGCCAGCTGCTGGCACCTGTGTGGTTACTGCTCGTGGCCACGTGACAGGGTGGACATCTGTTCACGGGTGACCATTCCCTACGTCCTGTCACTCTGCTAGTCTTTAGACTGAAACCGGATCTGCACTTTCCACCTCTCACGAAAACGCACACCGCTCATTTCTGACGGTCGTCAGCTCAAACGAAAGACTGACGCAGGGCCCGCACCCTCCCCCCTCAGGAAAACCGTTTATTTTTTTCTAACTTCAGCGTATTTAAGTAGCCTTGTTGACCTCATTAATTCATTTCAACAAACATGCATGAAACAACTGGGTGGTTTAATTACGCAAATATTCACTGAATAGAAACAGGATCGTGGCCGGCAGCGTGGCGGCGGGAAGCCGGTGATGGCGGCACTGAGCGCCCCTCCCTGCCCGTGTCTCCCGCAGAGAAAGCCGGCTCCGCGCCCTCGGGGGGCCCGTCCAGGCTCAGCAGCAGCAGCTCCTCCGAGTCGGGAAGCAGCAGCTCCAGCGGGTCCAGTTCCGACAGCAGCGACTCGGAGTAGACTCTGGACTTGAACAGAACAAACGATGTCGCACACGCCGAAACTGCAGCGCCCCCTCCCGTGGTTAATATACTACTTTTGTTCCATGGTGTGCAGGTTTTCTTTTTAATCCAGTGTTACGGTATCTCCCAGTTCTGCTTTCGTAGGTCAGAGATCTGTCCCGTGTGTGCGTTAGACTTTACAAGAAGGTGTGGACTCTGCATACGGTCCCTTTGTCATAACTGAATCCGAGCGCCTGGAGACGACAACTTCGAACGTTAGCCCGATGGCCGCAGAAAGCCGGGAGAGATACGATCTGAAGGGCCTTGCCGAACCCCTTTGTGTGTGCCCAGCCTGGTCAGTGGCTCCAGAAGGAATGTTGTCCCAGGAAGTTTCTCTGCCGTGGGTACTGTATTCGAAAGCTGTTACCTTTGCAAACAGGTGTTGTCTTTCTCATCCGGGCCTCAAGCCCTGGCCCTCGTGTCTGGCGCGGCCGCCTCTTCCTGCAGGGGCGGAGGACAGCCACGCCTGCCCCTCGGAACCAGGCTGGGCCTGAGTGAAGGGTCGTCCCAGCCCAGCCCAGCCCAGCCCAGAGCGCGGAGCGAGCTCCTGGGGCTGGAACGGCTGGGGCCGGCGCCTGGGGAGGGATGTTGCGTCCTCTGGGCATGGCGACGTCAGGCGCTCCTGGGAGGGGACGCAGCCGCTGCGTGTGCAGCATGCAGGTTTCCATACACTGAAGCTTTTACCTCAACTTAAAAAAGAAGAAGAAAAGATTAAAAAAAATAAAAAAGGAGACTTTTTTGTAAGGTTCAGCAGTTTTCTACGAGAGCCCAGCCCAGTGTGTGTCCCGGACTCGTTAGCGCTGCCCCTGCTGCTGCACACTCTGGAACCACTTCCCCGATTTTATGTATATATAAATACTTTATTTATTAACATCATTGGTCATTTTTTTAAAAAAAAAGAAAAAAATCACAGAAGAAATGCATTTAAAAAATAGCAGAGATACAGGCCTTTTGAACAGTGCGAAGGAGACCCGGTTCTGTAGACGGCGGACCTCTCCCCCAGGTGCTAGTTTCTGTTACCTGTGCGGTGCTCATGTCTGCGTGCCCGCTCTCTTCCCTGGTTTGTTGGGTTTGCTGGTTTTTTTCTTTTCGTTTTGTATGAGATTTGGAGACTTACAGGTATAGACTTTCAGCTACAGCATATTCTAATTTTTTATTTCGTTTGTTTTGTTCTTTTGTATCCACTTCTGGTCTCTTTAGGACTGTTTTAAAAGAAATCAATTTAGGGAACCCCAGTTATATAATATAAACTTTGTAATCTGAGAGAAAAGAATGTATAGTAAATTTAAGTCTTGATTTTTAACTTTCTATTGTAAAAAATAATAATAATATACAGAGTTTAACAGAAGGTTACGTTTTGGTTTTTGTTTCCGGAGGCTGCCGTGTGGCCTTCGTGTGCGCCCCAGACTGCCCAGCCAAGCCCTGAGCCTCGCGGCTCAGCCAGGAAGGCAGGGCCGGCCCGGGCTGCGGTGGGGCCCTGCTCCCAGCCCCCAGGAGCCCGGCCCGGCTGCTCTCTGCAGGAGGCGTCGTGTCCGGTCCCAGGAGGTTCCTCCTGGAGGTTGCACCACGCTCCCTGCTCGGGCATCGTCACGGCCCAGAGATGACGGAAGCCAGGCGTCCTCCCAACCTCCCTGGAGGGGACCCTGGAGGCGGGTGCTGGGTGTGGCGCTGTGCGGCGGTCTGCCCTTCGGTGGGCAGCGCTTTCTGCCAGCGCGTCTGGACGGAAGTAGGGACTAGTCAGTAACCTGATGCGTGGCAGTTTTTAAAAATCATAAAATCGATTCAGACTGCACCAGCCCGTGCAGACGGACCCTCAGTGGATCCAGAGCTCTGAGGAGGGAGTGGGCTGCAGATTCATTTTTCTAATTGCCGCTGATTCTGGCACTTGGTGAGTTCTCAGCCAGTTTGTTAAACTTTAATTAAGTTTTGTTTATAATAAAAATATGGATTTTAAAGTTCCCATTTTTTAAAGTTACCCTTGTTTTTCAAAGGTATTTTCTAAATAGATCTTTAATGGAGTATTTAAACTATGAATTTAAGGAACTAACACACGACAACTGCTGGGTCTTCACGCAGGATCTGATTGGTCACGCGCCGCAGCGCACGTCCGGGTGATGCACAGACCCTGAGGTGGGGGTGCCGGGGTGTGGGGTGCTCCGGGAGCACGCCCCTCCAGCTGCAGGGTAGCAAGGTGTCGCCTGTGTGAGCCGCTAGGCGGGGAGGTGGCTGGCGCTGGCATCGTGCAGCGGGAGCAGCAGGGCGTGTTCCCGCCCGCGGGGTCTCCGCCACGCGGAGTCGTGCCCGCCTCTCCTGCCGTTCAGAAAGCGCCCCCGGCCTGGCAGCCTCCGAGGGCGCGCAGAGCGGCTGTCGTCCATTGGTGCTGTCACTTTTTTAAGGCTTTCTGTCCAGACTTCAAAACTGATTGCTCTTCCACGGTGTGGAGGACCGATGACTTCCTCGCACCCTGGATGTCGGGCTGCGGTGGCTGCCGTCTCCCGTCTTCCGTGTTGGGAAGATGCAGCTGCTCAGTTAGGTCGTCCCAGCGCTGAGAACCGTAGGGCAGCTTTTCACGCGCTTTCTCCAGGGGAAGGGGCAGGGACAGGCCGTGTGCAGGCGTGGCGCCCAGAGTGCTCTGAGCGGCAGGGGCCGAGGGGCAGCTTCCGTGTTGACGGAATCCCAGAGACCCGCCCCACGCTGGGCAGCGTCACCTTGCTTACAGACTGTAGGACACGTTTTCTTTTGCGTTTGTGTTTTTGTTCTTTTGCAGCATTCACGGCTTTTATAGTCTTTTGGGGAAAAACAACACCCACGTAAAGAATTTGTCACATCCAGTTGAGCGCTGTCCCTTAATACTGGCGTAACACTTCCAGGAAGTTTTTCTTTTTTATATTTAAAATGTTACTTTTCTGTATGATGTGCATGCAAGTTTACCGTAACTTTTCTTAAACTTTTTAGTGCCGTTTCTAGTATATTCCTGTAAATGTCAGTTACTGAAATGAGTCCAATGTAAGTAGTTTTAGCTTGTTTATTGCAATGCTGGCCTCAACACAACAGAATAAAAATGGTAGAAAGTACTCTTTGATGTTTCTGGTAATCATGGACCCTTCTCCTGGGGCATTTGTTTTGTTTTCATAATAAAAAGCAAAAAAAAAAAAAAAAAAGGAAGAAAAGTGTGTGCATTTTCCTGCGCGTTCTGTGCTGCCCCAGCTTGTGTCTGGGCAGGAGATTCCAGAAGTGCCGGTCTGGAGGACCCTCCCTGGTGCATGAGGGTGGTGACTCCTCCCTCCTTGTGTCCTGTCACTTGTGGCAGAAATACCCGGAGTGTCAGGAGGGGCTCAGAAAACCGCTAAGCAGCTCTTGTCCGCAGCCTGGGCAGAGGCGCCAGTTAACTGGTGCTCCAGGACAAGCTGCCTTCTTCGTAGACGGACAGACCTCTGCTCTTCTAGCCCACCCCGTACTCGTGCCCTCCCTCTGTGCACCTCGCGCTGCCCTGCAGTGACTGCTGTGACGCAGGGGTCAGACGCCCAAGTCCAGCCAGCCCTAAGGGACATTCGAGTGAAGCCACTGCGGTTTGTTGCCGCTCCGTGCAGAGCCTGGCGTGCAGTCGGGGCTCAGTGAAGAATGGAGAGGGTTCTAATGCTCTGCAGAACGGCCTTGGTGTTGGAGCCGGGCTTGAGGACGTGTCCATCCTGGACAGGGTCTGGGGGCACCCTGTCACTCCTGGCCAGACTGACCCTTCTCAACCAGGCCAGCCTCCCTGAGGACAGAGGCAGGGCCTCGTCCACCTCAGGCAGATGGTGTCTCCCTGCAGCCTAAGCGGCTTAGCGCCAGCTGTCCTAGGCATGACGCGGTGCCCATTTGTCCTGCACACCCCCCTGACCCCTGCGGAGACTGGCCTGCGCACGCTCATCCTCCCAGCGCTGTGCGTGACTTCAGACCCTGTCTCCACGGGCCGACCTGACCACGACTCGTCCTCAGGTTAGTCTGAAGTGCAGTGAGCCAGTGGCACACGGACATTCCAGATGAGTCTGTGAACTTTGCTTTCTTCCCAAGCAGGACTTAAGCTGAAGCACTGAGAGATGTTGACAAAGCCAGCCCGGTGGGCTGGAGCACGTCCCGACTGCTGGGGCTCTGCTGCAAGGTCTCTCTCCGCAGGCAGGGCAGGGGCTCCAGCCCCGCGCTGTGTTTCAGGAAGTCTGACTTCAGCCTCCTGGCCTGTGGCAGCGGGAGCCTAGCGGGAAGGCCTCCCGCTGGAAATGAAGTTTGGCCCAGCGGTTCCACTTCTAGGCCATCTGCTGATGAACCTGCACAGCTGCAAAGAGAACCACATACAGCTATGCTCAGGACATGCTGTTTGCACAGATGACAGCCTCATGCCATCTCTGTGCCCATCTGTGGGCTCCCAGAACTGCCAGTCAGGTGTTAACAGTGTGAGGAAAATGCCTGTCTGCACAGTTGAGCCAGGAAGAGAATGGCAGGGTAAGATGCCCGGTGCAGACTGCACAAGTCACAGAGGACACAGGCAGCAGCTGTCCCTAGGAAGGGCACTTGCTTAGCTTTGTGCATTTCTGTATCGGGGTTTTTAGCAATCTTTAGATATTACTGTCATAAAAACATTGAAAGCCAAGTAAGATGATACGAACAAAGATAAGAGAACGAGGAGGGGAAGGAGAGCCCTAAAGGAAGTTCATTTAGAAAAGAAAAATCAACTTTGACAAAAGACCCCTCCACATTTGCACAGCCAGGCAGGCTTTAATTACAGCAGAGAGGAAATCTTTTCCAAATGGCTCATGAAAACGGCGCACATGGGTGGGCAGCAGTGACAGACACACGTCAAACTGTCAGCGGTGTAAGCTGTGGCCTCAGAGGCTGAAATACAGTGTCCAATGGAGAACCGGCCGTGCCAGCCACGTCATTACATTTGAAATCACTGCAGGCAGCTCGTGTGGGACTTCAGACTTCTGGGTTTCCTCAGTGTGTCCTGGATGCACTTGCTGGTGTCTGGAAGCTACCTGTGTGCGTCACACAGAAAAACCATTTTGGTAACTCAAAATGCAAGTGCAACAAAGCTCCCCTGGGCTGCTGCTGCTCACCGTCCGCGTGGACCGCGGCGCAGTCAGCTTCCATCTTGGCCGAGCTAATGGATCTGAGACTAAAAAACCCTTCATCTTTCTCCAGACCTGACCCGTTCTCTACTAGGCAGAAGTTAACACTGAACACAACCTATAAAAACTCGAAAAGGTGGGTTGTCATGGGAATGGAGAGGTTGCCCTTGCTTACTCGGAAGCATAACGGAGAAACACTTGGCAGCGCCGAGGTCTGCGCCATGCCCGGCAACTCCTGAAAGACTCGAATGTCACCGTGACTGACTACGAGGGGCTGCAGGAAAGCGTCCCGTCACACGGCTGTGTGCTAAAGGGCGTGAGTTTTTACATCATGATTGGATCTTCATGTTCATTATTCAGAATCTTCCGGTAAGCATTAGAAATCAACACCTGAGTGAAACACAGGCCTGTTTTCCTCAGAAGTGGCCCCTGGGCTCAGGTTCCCACACTGCAGTCACATGACTGTGCAGAACTTGGACTGGCCCGTGTCCCGGGAGACCTCCAGCTTGTGCTTGTCTCGGACTAGGATGGCTTCGTTCC